TTTCAAATTCATACAAAGAAATCCATTTTATTACAGTACTGTCGCCAAATGTAAGGTGTTAGACTTACGGTAAATCGTTAACATGGTTAGACTTGTTAACCTTACGTTTAAAAACTTACATTAGCGACATATTGACAGACGTGCATGTACAGCAAATAATTACATGTATTATTATTGTCCTTGTACAGTTGTTGTCGTTATAATATGAAATAATACAACGTTTGCGAAATACGTTTGACGAATACAATATTGTAGGTCAATGGTAGTTTTTTATTCAAAATGACAAAACATATTTAGCGACCTAGTCTTAAATACAGGTTTGTGTTGTTTATTTCAGTCAGGAGAGCAGCGTTACAGTCAAAGGTTAAGGGTTGTTGAGAGGACAAAGACACTAAACAAAACGACACAACGTCAGAACTACATTACCCATAATGACTGATTTTAAAAAAGCGTATTTTCCACTCACGGTGAGACATCTGCGTTCATTGGCTAATCTCGACAACAGGAAACACATAGCGCAACACGATTGGCTGGTGTTCAGATCCCAAAGTCCCGGATGAAAATGTGCTATATATTATCTAGAGCGGGAGGCGGGTTCCGTATTCGAAGCTAGCAGTTCTTGCGCGGTATTATCTTGTTTGTTTTGGAGTTGCTGTCGTTAAAATTGACCAGTAGTATTAAACATGGTACGTATTTTGTGTTTTTTCCGTGTAGAATCAAGTTTATGCCCAAGTGAGGGTATGCAGTATTCGCATTTTTAGAATATTTCTACTGTTTGCTCACTACCGAACTCTAAGCCGCTAATGTTACCCGCTCTCCTAGCTTAGCTTGTTAGCTTTCTGTTTGCTATCAATAACCGCTTTCAGTAATGTTATAAAAACTGGCCGCTGTAGTCAATATAATGGCGTACCGTGTGGCCTTTTTTGACCGTCGTGTGCTTATGTGTTTGATTTTGTTATTTTGTACCAGGCTGGTGGCAAAGCAGGAAAAGACTCTGGAAAGACCAAAACCAAGGCTATTTCGCGCTCACAGAGAGCAGGGCTGCAGGTTTGTTCCTTATGTTCATTCATTTCGTTACCAGGGCGCTGCTAGCACATGCTAACAGCTATAACTGGCCCAGAGGTTACTCCGCTGGTGGCCGCCTCTTACCGATGGACCACTCAACCCTTTGTTTCCCCGCTCTGAAGCCCGCTTCGTCTTTCTGTTTTCGCCACAGTTCCCCGTGGGTCGTATCCACAGACATCTGAAGTCAAGAACCACCAGCCACGGCAGAGTGGGAGCCACCGCGGCGGTATACAGCGCCGCTATCCTTGAATACCTCACCGCTGAGGTATCGGTGACCGCATTTTCCCCAGCTGTTCTCTTAACAATATCCACCTGTTTGAGCATCTGGTTTGAGGAACGTGTTAAAAGTTTGAAATCCGTTTCGTTTAGGTGCTGGAGTTGGCAGGAAACGCCTCAAAGGATCTGAAGGTAAAGCGTATCACTCCTCGCCACTTGCAGCTGGCCATCAGAGGAGATGAGGAGTTGGACTCACTCATTAAAGCTACTATTGCTGGAGGAGGTACGTTTTATTTAATTCATCGCATTTCCTTAGTTTGAATATTAAAACAGCCATTTTCTTTAATGTTATGCTTGTTGGGTTTCACCAATGATGTTGTGTAAAATATTAAAATGTGTAACTTGTATAATA